ATAGTGCAGATTTTGCAGACAAGGACTTGATTCTAAACCCGGATACTTCTGCTTGTAAAGTATCGGGCTCCGTTCATGATTCTGATGCAGAATTTGGAGCTGGTTTCCAGGAAACGCTGGAAAATGAACATGTACTAGCCTGCAAAAATTACCGAGGTGAACTGATGCATGCTGCGAATGAACTACAGAGTGGTGAACAAACTGTTTCAGATCTTCCTGTGAATGAAAAGTCTGAAAGAACTATATCATCAGATTGTGATATGCAAAACAGAAATGCATCTGAGAACTGCAGTGGAAAATTATTTGATCCGGATATAACTTAATGAAAAGACTGAAATTCCTTCTTAACTTTAATTTGTATAATTTAAAATTGTGATGTGTTTAATTTATGTGTGTAACTTATACATAGTGTAAATATTTGTTTCTTTAGTTATGTTATTTGTATGTTTTAAAGCGATTTGATTGTATCAAATTTGGCTTCTGACCAAGGGTTGTGCTGCCTGGGACGTGCAGTCCTTGGGAGGGAGCAGTGTTACGAAATGTATAGGCGCGGTGAGATAGCTTCCCCGCAAAGCAGTTTTAGGGTTGCCATAAAATGGCAAGATAATGCAGGGTTGCCACATTTGGCGACAAAATTGGGGATATCCCATGGACGGATGGAGAACCTTCTGGAACGAATTCTTACCGGTTTAGCCCAAAATGTTCTCGAACACCAGACGAAAGCTATATAAACCCTGCTGGTCCGCAATCAGTTAGTGTGCACCTCATCTGGTGAGCTGATAGTCAGTCATAGAGTGTGTGCCTCGTCTAGAGTGTGAGATTAGTGTGTCTCGAGTTAGTCCATGCGGAGTTGATCGAGTTGACAGGCCGGGCAGCAAGTGTCGAGTGGGTCGTCGAGTGCACTGAAGGAGTCTCGAGCTGTACTCTAGTGCTCTGCCGTGAAGCTGTCTCCACCGTGATAGCCTGATAACCTGGAGGCTGTGTCGCTGATCGTGTCAGCCTGTTTATAGTAGTTCATCAACGACTGTAAAAAAGTGTTTTGGAGCTGTCCTGACAATACTGGCCAATAAAGTGAGTTTCAATACTTCATCAAGTAGTATCGTGATTATTCACTCCAAATTCTCACAAACCCCCGTACGAACGTAACAATATTCAGTATCCAGTTCTCTAAGTGTGCATTTCAGCATTCTCTCACAGTTTGCCATGGATTTCGTTCTCAGATAAATTACTATGTGACAAATTGATAAATATTAAAATTCTGCTTCTAATACTTAGTAGTTGTTTATAGTCAGCACAATGTTTTTTTTTTTAGAACAAAATGTGCTATAAGCTTCATCCATTATGCAGCACATAGGAAAGATAATATGAAAACTTCATGAATTTATCAATTAAAAGCAGCATAACATCATTAGATTTATGTGGACTCTTACTCTTAACATTTATTCACCTCTTTTACTCAGCCTTAATAGATCAACTTAAAGTTATACCACTTGGGGCAAAAGGGCATGCAGTTGAGTATTCAAAATTTTTATGCTTTAAATCAGAGTTTCTTAAACTGTTGGTCGTGACTCCCATGGGGGTCGCCAAAAATTTTAGCAGTTTTGATATTTCTTTAACTGAATACAATAATTTTACATTTACCAAATACACAGTGTATCTGAAAATAGATAAAGATAAGACAGAGAAAAAATGAAAACATTTTGATGCATTCTTTTTATAATATAAATGTTCATTTTTCTTGCTTTGCACTTGACGCTGTTATTTTGCCTGTTACTTATTTAAAATTTTCACATTGTTCTATGTCTTAAAATTAGAAATTAAAGTTAATGACCTAAAACTGCAATAGTTTATTACAGTACAAGAGAAAAAATTGACAGTTTCACTCACAGTGTGTCTGATTTATGCAATGCTTATGGGGATCCCACAAAATTTTTGTAAATATTATGGGGTTGCGAAAAAATCTCAATGATAAAAAGGGGTCGTGATTGAAAAAAGTTTAAGAAGCCTGCTTTGAATCTTTTATCTTAAATCATGGTTTAATGCTATTATTAAATCATGGCTATTGACTAGTAGCAAAATGATGCTTTCTATTTTACACTTATGCCATGGTAGAATATGTCTTAATAAACCCATAGGTCAGTAATAAATAATTGCATATTTATATCATAATTTTAAGTCTCCCACACAATGGATTTTTCTCTGACAGTGTGGAGTGCTCTCTGATAGCTTGATGCATTCGTGGTGTTGTCTGAAGATTTTTTTTCCCCCTTTTGCAGTAGTTTATTGCATTATTTTTAAACTTTAACTGCTTTCTATACAGTAAAAACTGTATTAAATGGGCCTTTGATCAGTTTTAAGAAATTGTTTGGTAAATACAGTAACATTATAAAGAGTGTAATAAAAATCAGCAACATTTGCGAATTATTTCTGTATGATTTAGTCTTTCTTGTCACTGATTGGTCAAAATAACACAAACCGTTGGGAAGCAAAAACATTGCTAAAGGTAATGTTTTGAAATTGATAACGTAGAAAACAAAAAACCAAATTTTGAAGTTTTGACTGGCGAAAAACGTCATTCACTTTGCCGATCAAGAAAAAAATAAAAATTGCAGTGATGATGATGAAATAGAAATGGATACTTTGTGAAAATTAGTCATGCTGAAGACTTAAATCTCTCCTGCAGATCTTTTATTCAGCAAACATGGACATTATTATTATACAGTGGCTGATAGAGTTGTAGGATTTCCATAAAAGGGTAACAGAACCCCCCCCCCAATAAAAATTGTCCCATAAAAAATGCATGCAAGAAATGTTACAAAATGATTCAATTTCACAAGTAAGTTTTGAGGAAGGTCATTTCTTCTGAATTTTTAATGAATATGAAATAAAATATTTCATGGATTATTTATTGAATAGAAAAATATAAATTTTTATACTAATAAAAGAATTTGTTAAAGTGTTAATAATGATATGCACGTGTTTTGGGCATGTGTTTTTAGAATTCTAAATAAACAATTTCAGAAAATTTGACATACTTTAAAATGTAATCTCTATTAATTAAGTTTTTGATTATTCAAGCTGCTTATACTTCCAGTTCCACCGTATTTAAATTTTGTTGTTTTATAATCTGAGTGCATTCCTCTACTTAGTGATTTTTTTTTTAATTTAATTGTCTTTAATATGAGAAGTTCTTAATTTTGATTTGATCTGACTTTGTACTTAAAATAATCATGTTTTCATTCACATTCTTTCATTCAAGCAAGCTGATTAGTGGCAAGTGGATAAATCTGAGAAAAATCTGGCAGTTTACCTTGAATTCTGTTAGCTATTCAATATGAAATTTGCATTGTTTTCCTCATGCATATCTGCCGTAAAATCATCTTCCTGTAGACAGTAGCCTGAGTTCCCTTTACCATAATCAAGTCATGTACCCTTTTTTATCTGTTTATCTAGCTTTTATAGTTTTCAGTGTGGTTATTCATATTGGAATATGGATTAGAATATACTGGGGAAACGGGAATAAATTATGTGTTAAAAGTTTTGGAATTACTGAACTTAAATTATGAGATACATAGAAAAATTACTAATGTCACCTTCTGTATACAATAGGAATGCATTTTTGCACAATTTTCTCTCATAAAAACAAAGAAACAAATGTAATTTCTCAGATAAAAATAATTCTAATAAGGAGCATAATTTCCCCTGACCAAAAGTAATATTGCATACTTATGGTGTTGGTGTATGTGATTATGGCAAAGTCTCAAGGGGCCTAAGTGGAGGGATGCCTTAGTGGAGGATGTTCTAAGGGAAACTGGCTCATATATACATTACACATGAGGAAAACCACGAAAACACCCATGCAGCCAGCCTGTTCACGAAATTCAAACCTTGGACCAAACTACCAGTGTTCAGAGACTTTACCGCTCAGTGGCTGGTGAGCCCATTTTGCATACTTATGAGAGGATCAAAGTATGACTGGGATATTCTCTCCATCTCCTACAGAAAAGTAGTTTCCAGGGGCTGAATTGTGTCTGGGAGAAAGACAAAATGATAAGCAACTCATCTCCTGAGGATGCTCCAGACATGTTCAGTTGGTTTCGTGTTTGGGAGAACATGCTGCCATCTACAAAACATCTGAGGATCTGCAATATCTTGAGCCAACAGGAATTCATTTCTGGTGAAGTACAGATCAGTACGACCATTAACGGAGATACTAGTCCAGACCATCACACAATTTTCTCCAAACCGGACACTTCTATTTACAAATTTATCATTATTCAATGTGCCACATTATTACCATACGAATCATTTTTACCATTTATTCTCAGGTTGCACATTAAAGTAGGATTGTCTTAGAAGAGAAAATACGTCATTTATTTTTTTCATCAGATATCTGAGATCTGTGAAGTCAGTTTCAAACAATTTTAATTGAAACACTGGTGCCAGTAGTCCTCAGAAGGTGCTGATCTGCCTTCATTTTATATTTTTGCATGCCTACAGTTTTCTCCTAGTCTTTATCTAATGTTTTGAGTTTAAAAAAAAAAAAAAAAAATCTGTAATCTGAAAATGACATTTAGTTACAATGAAAAAGCTTCGACTGCAGCATGTTATATTTGTCCCAAGTGATTCGTGCCCTTTGAAAAATTGATTCTGCTGAATCATGCTATTAAGACAATATATTCACTATTTCACTACTACAAACCATCCAATGCATGCCAGTTGTTTCTAATTCTGAAGGTCACTTTTTATTGTAAAAATATAATTTTTAGCATCGCAGACAAGTTTGTAAACCTGATAATTTTTCTCTTTAAGTTTTTTTTTTTTCCATTTTCTGTTAATAAATTGGTCAATTATTTGGTTGTTTCGTATTAAACATCTCCCAATTATTTTGAGCAGTGTATTGCACATGTATGTGTAATTATTATGTAATTGTTTGAAAATATGCTTTTTTATTTTGTTTTTCTAAAGATCTCTTATAGAATCAAATTTTTCTCTTGTAGCGTCTCATTTCAGAGTACTATCGCTCAACAGGTGAGGCTATAGATTTCAATGCAGATCTTGCTGGTAGTGGATCATACTGGGAAAAATTACAAACATCTCTCAGAACAAAACTTCCAAGAGACCTTATGGTGACTGGAGCTCAGTCAACAGCACAAGCCCAAGCAGTGACACATTTCTGGGACTTTCTCAAAGGTCTCATAATGACATAGCATATTGGTTCTTAGAAAAATATTCCATAAAATTATCTCTTATCACTTTTAATGTTCTGTAAATGAGACAAACGTCTACTTCTTTCTACAACTGTGGTATGATGAAATACTTTCTTCTGTGTTTTGTTCCTTGACTTTCACTTTTTTTAAGTGTCTGCAATGAAGATTGTGATTCATTTTTAAAAAATTGATGGTGGCGAAAATAGCCATTGAAATATTTTGTGGCAATATAAGTGATATAAGCTATCCTATTTTAGCCACCTCAATATTATTCTGTGATCATATTTATTTATCAAGTCACTACCATGTAACTTTCCTACTATTCATTGACATATTAATTTGGACCATATTTTAAAGAGACATTTAATTTCTATTTTTATAGAGTGTATATTATATTTAATTTTTATATGTAGGATAATCAGCATATAATTTTTTTATAAAATTAGTTCATATGTTATGTAAGAGAAGAGTTCCTCCCTATTTTGGCATAAACATAAGATACTTTGTTTGCAAAGAAAAGAACCATTAAAATAATAATAAAAAAAATATATGTATCTCATGATAAACCTTACATTCCAATAATTATTTATATACTTGATTATTTTATTGTTATCCTTTACAAAAATACATAGAATGTAAATATGGAAATGTATTATCTGTTATTGTTTCATGGTGTTTTAGAACAAGGGTTTATGAACAGTGATCTCTCTCATTCTATCTGTGAGGTAACTGACTTCATTCAAAGGGGCATTTTTCAAAGTGTTTGTTAGATTTCTTAATTTATATGATTTTTCTGGCAAACTGTCATCAAACTTTAATATAATCATTAATAAAATGAACAAAAATTCATTTTTTATCCAAAAAAACTTAAAATTTTAGGACAAAATTAACGAAGACAATAATCATCACTGGCAAGAAAATATTAAAGATAAAAAATTGTTTTTAAAAAAATCAAATGGTACACAAAACTCAAGAGATCAGTTGCTGGATGTAAGTAAAACAAGTAAGTTTGATAAGTTGTTGCCAAACAAAAATGAGAAAATATAAAATGAAAAATTTGTCACTTTCTCCAAAAATACTGAAATGCTTAAAATTATTTTGTTCAAAAATAACATAGGAAAAAGTAAAAACTGGACCTCTCGTTTGCCATTTAAATTTCGACTTCCACGTGGCAGACAAGTTGCTTCTCGTTTGTCATCTCTTCGAACAAATCATATATCTCCACTCCTAATCGGCATATTAAAAAAAGAAAATTTGGTTTTCATAGCTAAGAATATGGTCTTTAAAAAATATTAAATAAATATATAAAAAGGAGTTTCTCAACTAAAATTGGCCTTCTGAACGAGATCAGTTACCTCAAAAAAAAATTCTTTTATTGCAATTTTCACAAGAGAGTAAATAAATGAATCTTTGTGTATATAAATTTCATTATTTGAAATTAGGCAGCTATTGTGCTTATCTCAACAGTAGAGTGTATTTGGCATAATGCATTCCAGAGTTATATAATAATGAAAATTATACCCTTAGATTGTACTATTACCAGATAATTTAATACTTAACTGCAACATTAGTCAAATTGTCAGTAAACTTTTCACTTTTGTCTTCCAAATTATTTTATCCATAGTTGCTTGTTTTTAAAACCGTTAGACAATGCATAATACTTCAAAGCAAAAAACACTTTATGATTATACCTGTAACTGTCACAGTGGTCAGTTTGGCCCCCCCCCACCACCACATTTTGATTAAAAATCTATGCCAAACTAAAATTGCTTTTTTAGTACAGTACAAAGTTCAAGATCCGGATTTTGGTGATTCTGGACTTTGGAAATTTCCGTATTTTAGATCATCAGTATAAATCTATTAAGATGGCATGTAGAAATTACAAAATTAAAAATATGAAATAGTTGTTCGCATTTATGACTTTAAAGGAATCAAAACTTTAAAAAAAAAAAAAAAAAAAAAAATTAAATCATTAATGTTTGCTTCTTTTATTAAACATTACTTTCAATGTAAGTTGTTTAAGCTGTTTTGTTTAATACTTTCTGTTTAATTTTATAGATGGACATAATTTTTATTCAGTTAAAAGTTCCATTGTTCAAATCCTGTAAATACCAGATCAAAAATTTCCACAAAACTGTGAGTTGGAATTTTTTCATTCCCAAAAATTTCTTTGTTACAATCACTTCTCCACATTTGTTCGTAGTTCTATTAATTTGAAAATTTCACAATCTGTAGCATCCAAAATCTATGGTAAAATAAGGTTGCTGTTTTCTCCAATTGTGAAATCACAATCCCAGATAGCACCAATGCCATATTTTTATGCTAAGACTGCTATGGAAAGCAAGTACCAAATATATTTTCACTTTGCAGATCTTGCTACTCTCCATAAATACTAAAATCTACATGGACATTTTGAAGTCTTTTTGACATAATCAAAAATTCAAACTTCAATTTTGATAGTGTAGTTGTAATAATAATTAATAGTCTGCAAATAAGCTAGATCAAATTAGCTAAGGAAGAGCACAATTTGTTATGTTAACTGAATCTAATTTGTTCTCTCTTCTGGCTGTTATTTCAACAAAACAAAAACAAAACAAAAAACATTCGCTACATCCCCACTCTAAATAAATATGTCTTGGAGCATATTCTTTAAGTAAGATTTTTAAAATATTAATGTTCACAAACACACAAAGACTGAAAGTGTGGTCCCAGCTCTAACATTAATCAATGCATTGTCAGTGGCCAAAATGTGATTCCCTAGCCAGCAAGTGTTTGAAGGTGACATAGTAGGGAGAAAAATGAAATAATGTCTTTTACAACACACCTGCCTTTTCTTTAATTAGGAGAAGTATTATATTTTCATTCCTAAATTTTGTTTAAAAAAAAAAATGCTAGTTGTCTAAAAAAGTGCAGATATTGAATCTGCATTTCAAACTTTGTACTGTATACTAAAGTTTTATAAAAACTTTTTATTTTAACTTTTATACTTAAATTAGTCTACAATTTTTTTAGAATGGCCAGTATGATAATTATTACATTTATAAATATGTGCAGTCCTAATGTTAAATGCACTGATCATCACATAAATTGACATTCAAAACAAAAGGCATATAATATATCTGTATTTTACGAATATCGACATCTAATAAAATTGTATAATGACTGCAATACATTTATTCTACTAAAATTTCACTTTCAGCAGCTGGCAGGCAAAAATTATGTAATCACTGATGTAAACTAATATGCGTTATTCAAAAAGGAAAGCAATTCATGATGTCAAATACTGAATTTTAAATTTATTTTACAGAAATGTAGCTGAAAAATATTGTAACCATTTGGTTTATGGTTTACTGAATGAAAGAAATTTAATATCATGATAGTTACTGGTCAGTGGTTCACTATTACTTGTTTTTTGTACATTGGTTACAAAAAAAAATTTGTATGTTATTTCCATATTGGTTTACAAATTAAAATTATAACAAATGTATTTTAAAAAGATGATTTATCCTATCAAAAGTAGGATTTGTTGTGCATTGATTAATTAGTTTCATAAATGTTGAAATGCAGTAAATATTGCTTTATTAAATTTGCATATTATTTCATCAACAAACAACAACTGAAAATTCTCTGCATCTAGATTCATTTTCTGCACCCTTGTTCTAGAACTTATATTTATGTCAATGGTAATGTAAATATTTTTTTAACATGTGTTCTGTATAAAACATAAAAATGGGAAATTTTAGCTGACTACATTAATCACATTTTAAATTAATAGTGCTATATTTAAGTTGGAACTAAATAGCATATTTATTTGACACTTTTTGCAGTTACAGATCATATAACTGCAGAAAAAAGTTGACTAAAGATTCCCGATTTTAGGAATTTTTTATGAATAACTGGGTGAGTGGTTAGCACATTTTTAACAGTAGTGAAGAGATATTTGCTGCATAAATTTATGTAATAAGGTAGACCTAAAGCTACCCTTTTATATATATGCTTCACTCTGCTTATTGATGATATGCAATAAATTAACAGTATGTCACAAAAACAACCATTAACTACAGTCTAGATAAATCCCTGTCTGCTACATGCCATTTGTTAAAGCCATAACATGAGGGGAAATAAATGCAATTTTCCCCAGAAAACTGTGGAATAAGCCAACAAAAAGTCCATTACTTCTTCTTTAGGATCATAATAGTGGCCAAACTCGTGATCCCTGTGGATGGTCACTTTTAAGTAGACACATTCATTATAACTGGCCATGCAACTTCTAGGATAAGCCAGAAGTTAACACAGTATGTAGGCCAAAATCAACAACAGCATTCTGTGCCTGAGCTAGAAATGAAACAGTTATGTCAGTTAATTTCTTAATTAGGGAGTTTATTTTTTATTTATTGTTAAATAAATGTAATGTATATACATACTAATTAAAAATAAGGCTTAAATAAGGTTATCTTTAACATTGCTCAAAATGTACATTTAAGTTACAAGTGTAGAAATTAAGAAGAATTTCTAAGTTTGTTAATTATCTCTTAATTAAAGTTCTGATGAAACCTCTACGATTTAGATTTCTTGCACAACATAGTCGATCACTTTCCATATTGATCACTTTGATTTTATTTTTAAAATTATCCATTTTCAAGAAGTCTCAGATAATCATCCTAGGTGTAAGAGTAAATGACATGATATCAAATGGGGTATATGTTGTGTTTAAATTTTTTCTTTCATAAAAAAGGGATTATTCATTCCATCATTTAACCCAAGCCTGCCCATATAATTACTTAGTTGAAAATTAAACATTTCTCTTAGTGTAAGTTGTTTTAGTTGCTTCATTTTTTGTGCTAATATTTTAATTCTATGGATAGACATAATTTCTTATTCTGTTCAAAGTTCCATTGTTCAAGTCCTATAACTGCTGTGTCAAAATCCACTAAATTGCCTATCAAAAAATTTTTGCTCAAGTTTTTTGTCACTTTCTTTACTGTTGATATCCACATTTTCTGGATTTAGAACTATACTACAGATTTTTTCGTCCACTGGTCCATTGTCCTCACAAATTCCATTAATTGGAAAATTTCACTTTTTACTCTCTCTAAAAAAGACCTTCAAATTTGTGGTTTGCATTATAAAGCTTAGCTAGTGAGCTAGCTTAGTTAGCAAATAAAGTGTCTGCCATATACTATTGGCGACATATCATGAGATTCGTAACTATAGATATGTGGTTCCAGTAAATTTTATCTTGCTTCTATTGCAGGCGGAGGAAGTCAAGTCTTAATTATATTAATTCAGTTAGTTATTATACTTACATCTATTTCTAACATATGTTTAAAGCTTACCAGAGCAGTTGGCTAAAGCCTATAATCATGGCCAAGCATGTCGTCTTCAGAAAAGGTTACTGTGCTGTTTGATGGTGTTCTGTTACTCATATTTTAAGGAAAAATCGTTTCAGTAATCCATGCATGAATCATTTCTCAAGTTGCCGCGAGTTCATAGTCACATGATGATGAAAGCAAAAAAATGACTCACTAGGTTTAGGGTTTAAGTTATTCAGAAGTGTAAAATCAGTGATGAACTCTGGTTGAGTGTATTGCTTTGAGATGTAGATCAAGTAGAAAGGCCCTTACAGAGCCCAGTAATTCCTTCTCCATCCCCCCCCTTTTTTTTTTTTTTTTTTTTTTTTTTTAAGTGCTAGTGGTTAGTGGTCTGGATATTGGACTTATTTTTACTATATTAAAATTTTCAAGTCAGAAATTTAGAAATAATTATTAACAAGTAAATTTTACTTCATTATTTTTCATATGAATGATTATGATAATGTGCAGGTGTCATGTAAATAATTATATTCATGCAAATAGCTTAATTTGTTGTTCTGCATTCTTACAAGGATTATTATAATGATTCATAGTTAGTCACGGAATGGTTATTCTGTGGAAACTTGGTGCATACCCAAATTCCCAGCAGATTTCAAGCTTAATTTTCCTGTGAATGAATGTGCTGTTATGACAAAATATTTTATTACAGCACATTTTTACTAACAAAATAATTAAAAATAAAGCAGGTTTTACAGTTGTTGACCAAACACAGTGCTTTTTTTAAGCTAAACTTAATTACTGTATTTCCTCGTGTATTCCACCCACCCACCCCATTGTGTGTGTGTGCATGGTTGTTCACAAATGGAGAGGGGACAGGTAAATATCACCATATTATTTCTTTAAAAGAAACCTATATTCTAGTGAGAATATTTAATAATATTAACCTTACAATATCTTATATCTTCATTTGTACTTCCCTATAACTTGAATCTTGCCTGTTTCTTGTCTCTGCTACTCCTTAGCCAAAAGTGTATGTTGACCTTTGCTGTTGATATTCAGACTTCTTTTCTTGGTGCAAACACTGATTGGTCACCCAACCACTCAACACCTAAAGTCTTGAACCTCCTCTCATGATACAATGAAGACTGGTTCTATAGCAACTAAGTTTTGCTGAAGTGGAAATCATGCCTGCCTGTTAGTGTTTCCTTAAGGATTAGGATTTTTTTAAGTGTAGAAATTTAAGTTTTGAGTATACAGAATTTTTATCAGTATTGCTACTTAAATAATATTTCATCAGTTGCATTAGTAACACCTGCTCAATATCTAATGGGTTTAGGTCTGTTGTTCCCTCCTTTCTTTTTTTCCAAACTACATTAAGTCATATCATTAGCATTTACTTGCTTGCATATGTATCCAAAACTAATTTGGGGGACTTTGGGCTAATAATAAAAGTGTAAAATTTTGTAAATTACATGCTTTGTCAAAGTGAACTTTTTACCAATTTATTGTGCTTTAGCTCTAAGAATGACATGGAAATTTTTGTAGGGTTTCCCCCCCCCTCTCTACAGGGACCATGGAAAAAGTTAAATTTTTCATTTTTTTAAAATTATTCTCCCTCTAATGCTGAAGTTCTTGTCTTAAAAGTATCTACCTTATTAAGAGAAACTTTACAACTGGATGTACAAGCCTGGGATTAATAGTTACGTAATTAAAACCTAAAGCATACTGCTTTCTTTCGCAAACTGTTTGTATATAATGCTGTTAACTGCTTCACTTATAATTCCTTTTATTCAAGCCCCTGTATATATTAAGTATTTTATTTGCATTTTTGATGGGCAACTTCTTTTTGCTTTCACACTATGGTGATGTAAACTTTTTTATATTATAAACTGTGAGTAACAAATGTTAAGCATTTGTAGGTGAATCAGAGACATAAGTGAATTTTGATCACCACAGTGTAAAAACTCAAAATATATATGTAGTAAGATGGTTATTTGTGTTTTAATATATGAGCTTTTATTAATTTTATTCTAAATTTTGTCAACTGTGTATAAGATAGTGTTTATTGAATAAAATGAAAACAAATATGAGACAATATTTTAAAAATAAAAATGCTAGCCATGTCAGTTTTTCTTTATATTTATGTATGTGGTTTTCATGTTTTGGAAATCTACTTATGTTCCATTCATTTTTGATATGCATGTACTTTTTAAATGTAAAGAATGTTGAACATATTGTCTGATAAGCCAGTGATTTGACGTGTAAATTTTCATTAGAGTGTCTGTTTTTATGGGCCTGTCGTGATTTGTTCTAAATGTAGAATAAATTGATAAAATCTTCTGAATGACTACTCAATTCATTTTAAAAAAAATTCTTAGAAACAAATATATTTATTTTCAGAAATGCATTATATCTTTAAAGAAAACAATTTACATAATAAATCTTTGCCATGCATATGTCTTAAACAACTCTATAATAACTAATCTAGTAAGGCTTTCAATATCGAATTCGACTTTTACAAAAGTTTTTTTTACGACAAAAATTTGTGCCAGTAGCGTGCAAAAAACGCACCCAGGTCTAGATTTTTAAAAAAGACTGAGTACTTTTAAATGCGTCGTTTAAACCAAAATAGCTTTCAACTTCAATAATTCAAAAATGCAAATTATCATTACAAATCGTACCAAAATAGCAAATCACACGAACAGGAGTTGTACGCAGTAATAGTTTGCTTCAACACACATGAGTACTAATCAGCAAATTGCCCATCTACTGGTATCACACAGTCGTTTAACGCCATGTAGCTGATATTTTGCACGCTAAATGGCTCTCGATATCCTTCAAGCAGCAACAAGTAGTAAGCATTCAGAGAAGAGATCGAAGCACAGGCAGTAGTTATTTTAAAGCACAAGAAAGAGCCATTTGTAAAAGTACTTCAGAGAATGTTCATTTGCATTTAGAGAATACTAAGCATGTTAATATACTGAATGACACGCAGAATACTTGTTTTATTTCATTTGATTTTCATTAAACATTCAGCTTTTTTTTCTTTGTTTTTAATTTTTCTGACGAATGCAGTATTTACAAACGCACAACAAAATCAACGCGAGGAACACAGTTACGATTGACGATAGAATGAATGATTTTCCATATATATATATATATATATATATACAGACGCTCAATGTAAATGAATTTGACAAAACTTAACGCTTTATTTCTTAGTTTATAATGCAACTAAGGCGTGATCGTGTCTCGTAAGCACCGACTAGTTGAGGCAAGGCGTTCTGACTTCGAATTCCAAAAAAACCGATGATGAAGTAAAGGTCCGTTTGAGCTCGTGCTATTTTCAAGCAGCCGAGTATTTTCACTGGTAATGGTCGATGTCATAGCCAACCCATTCCATCTGCAATAGGTGGTGTCGGTTTTCGGCTTCGTCGTCATAGTCCAGACACGCCCGAACGGCCGCCACGTGACTTTCCGACATATCTTTCGATGCAAAGGCAGTGACAAATATGAAAAATTACAAAAATAACGTGGGAATGTTCTCTCGACCAGCATCACTAAAATGAACACGTGAAGAAACCGAAGGGAAAAGCAAAAATGTTAGTTCTTAATCGATTACAGTCACGTGCCACCGATCATTCGAAGAGAATCACGTGACTGCCAATCGAGTGGCCATTTTCCTCCAGAAGTGTGTTCCAGGCCCGACGCCGAGCCCGGACTATGTCCGAAAAAGGGGATGAACCCATGCAAAACGGTCCTCGTATAAAAAATTGTTTTACAAAAAGCGTTCGTGTAAAAAGAAAGTAGGCAATGGACTAGGGCATTGGTCCAGCGGTCACTGATGCCGCTTCATGTGCAGCGCTAAGTGGTCGGAGCGAGAGAAGCAGCGGTCACAAAAACTGCACTTGAATGGCTTGGAGCCTGTGTGCTTCCGAAAATGGCGCGTCAACTCGTCCGATCGTGCAAAACGCCACTCACAGCCCTCCCATTGACACTTGTATGGTTTCTCACCTGTTAAAAAAAAAAAATCTACAATTAAATTAATTAAAATAAAAAATTCAGTTGGGAAGATTGCAAGAAACATTAGTATATATTAAATTCATTCTAAACAAACAATACGCAATAATATCAAGCTTCTGTTCACAAGATTACAGTCTCAATTTCATCTGTCAATTTTTAAATGGAATACACTCATGTTTTAATATCTAAATAAGTATTTGCTAATATAAACAAATAAGGCTTTGTTCTATACAAATACAGAAATTTTCTGCACATAAATCCAAGAACTAGAATTTTATTTCTATAATTATAGTGAGATCTGTTAGTAGAATTATAGAGGGATAAAGGTTACCACATCCTTATTTACTTGCAATAGACTCCTATTAAATATACTACGACAATGTTCTTAGGTCAGTGTCAGCCCATCTCCGGTATTTCTTAATTTGTTTTAGAAGACATCGTAAATAACCGCAAGCCCAAATCAGATGCAAAGTCAAATATTATATGAATAAGAACTAATTTTTTATAGCTTCGCTGTGTGTCTAATCATTTAACAAAGCATTTTTCATTTGTGATATTCATTTTTTAGTTTAATTACTGTATGACATCGAATTCAGGCCACAACAGGGTTTTTAAAACTGCATTATGATAAGAACAGCCATTCTCAAATTTAGTATGGTTTTAAACTGGGAAAATTATTTTATTACAGATACTGAAAAATAAATTTTTTTTATTTATTTAAATAGATTTTATTATAACAAGCTACCTATTTTACTGAGAATCTTCTTCAGATATACGATGTTTAAATATTCTCTTTGAACTTAAGCTGCACCCTAATTTTATGTCATAAAAATTGCAAATTCGAAGTAATACATTAATCACCATTAACATAATTAAATCATTCATTTATCTATTCACTTTTTATTAAGTTTCTATTGCTCAGTTTTACAAGGATTTCTGCACTTGTAGCTATTTGAGAAATTACTCTGTATTTAAAATTCCCTTTCGGATTTATGCATTATATTTTTAGCCCAGAACGGTTACTTCAAAATGGCATTTTGCGTCGAATCACTAAAGGCCTTGACGCAGTTTTCAAATTCTTGCTACCAAGTATTATCGCCCTGTATTATATTTAAAGAAATTAAATAATGAAAAAATCTGCATGAATGTTATGTATGTTTCTCGCAATGTGAAAAAAAATGGTACTTAGAGCCATCAAATTTTGAATAAGTAGCCCTCCACCCGAATATAGACACCTGGAAGACCGAATTTTAAATTTCGAATATGTTTTATTATCTATTTCAGACTTTTGTAAAATGTTTAAGAATTTTTGATTAGAAACCTCATGGATTTTAAAGCGAGCTGTGGCAACACTGTACGGAATAATTTATTTTTCTTCAGCACGTAAGACTGGCTATCGAAAATTTTACAGAAATGGTGTTTCTAAATATTTTTAGCCCAAATATTCTCAAAGGGTGTATGTGCATGTAAATGAATTAAAAAATCTGAAAGGTTTCAGATTTTATAATGCCCAAAGGGTCGTTTTTTAAATATTTTGTGTGCTACTTTTATTTCTTAAATATCATGTTCTTTGCACTTAAACCACATAAAATTTAACTCAACAGCAATATCACAAAATATTTATAAACAGCATACCTTTAAAATTTCCGACAGAGAGTCTCACGCATTGAAGATAAAAATGTTGTTATTGTCCCCCCCCTACCGTTCAGTGTTGCCATTGCTCACTTTGAAATCAATGAGTTTGTTAGTCAAAAAAAGTTTTATAAAATATGAAACAGATAATAAAACAAATTCAAGATTCAAAATTCGGGCGTTCAGGTGGAGGATTACGTTATTCAGAATTCGATGGCCCTAGGTATTGTCGTTTTTACCCAATGTAAGAAACATATATATATATTCACGCAGATTCTTCATTATTTAATTTATTTAAATATAATACAGGACTCTAATATTTGGTGGCAACAATTTAGAAAGTGATTCGCCATTCATAGTGAAACATCACAAAATGCCGTTTTGAGACTAATAGCCCTTCTGGGCTACTGCCCCTTTGGGCTAAAAAAAAATGCCCTTTTGGGCGTAATATAAAATCTGAAAGCTTTCATATTCTTTTTTTATTATTTTTATTATTATACTAAAATTTAGCATTCAGACCTTAATGAAGCACTTTATTTTCTGCATAAAATAAGTACGACAATTTACAAAATATGATCCATGACAATTTACATTCAACTGCACTTCCCTGCAGTGTAAAGCCAAACACCACAATCAAGCACAGTAATGGTCCTTAACAGTAAAATAAACAACATTGGAATATCTGGCGTTCTCGGAGAAATACGAAAGCGCAAACTCTTTCAACTCAGTTTGAATCAGAGGCGCCAGCTAGCAGTTTATTACATTTACCAATTTTGGTACATAGAGCCAACTGAGATAATAACCGTGATATCAACAACTGCATGTGATCAACTAATGATTAGATATGTTTATCAAAAAGGTGTAGTGTAATTACCGTCAAACTACTTGCCACGAATCTCATTCCTGACCACAGCTGATTTACTGTCTCAATTAATAACTGAAAATGCATATCACGTAGCACAAACAGGCTTTCAGAAGACTAATACTCTTAATACAATAGCTTCCAATAATTGATGCCCATGTCATTTGCATAAACCTGCTGTATAGTCGATTTATTTATTAGATATTAACTTATTTACATCACATTTTATTTGCATTCTCTTATTCCTACCATACACATTAATTTTTTTTTTTTTTTTTTTTTTTTTGTTATACATATTAACTTACTTATTTTTCTTCATTTTTTAAATAAAATACCAAAATTTAGATTGAATATAAAATTTTATATAAGTAATATATTATTTTATTAGATTTAAAATTTAGACCGATTTATGAATTTCTTTCGTTAATGTCTGTAGTCTTTTACTTCCTTAGTACACAAAATGATTACAGTAAATACAGTTGTACATGAAATTTCGACCTCAAATGCAAAACAAAATATAATCACAAAAATAAAACTACAGTATATATAGATCACATTTAAAGAACATATTTAATAACCTAATAGCTCCACCTTTTTTTTAGTATAAAAATAATTTAAATGCATCCCAAACCTTCATAAAACTTTCATTCAGCATATATTGCAAAACAGATGATGAAATCTCTTACAGTAACGGCTACTGAAAATAAGCAGTATTCCTCATACTTAAATAACATAACGTTATTTTATTTATTAAGTTTTATACTGGTTACTGGTACTGAACATCATCAATCATCATGTTCTCTAAGACGACTATCTCCACAGAAAAACAAAATCGGTTGGAACTGTGGTTAATTGTCTTTGGTAGGTTTCACTCCATGTCGTTTAAATTTGCGTTATTTTTAAATTAAATTATGTCATCGCAAACAGGAAATACCTGCTTCAGGTGAGATAACTTTTTCTAGAAAATTTTATCAGAGATTTTGGCTTTTACTTTCAATATACATAGCCAAAAATCGCAAGATTCTGCTGCAGGGAAGGCTTGTAGTTGCCAAGAATATAGAAACGCTATAGTTGTTCATCCTGGCGATAGCTTTCCATTAAAAGGTCCTTCAAAAAAGTATCTCACTGTCAGCAAGTAAGTTTCGTATGCTTTGCTATAATTAATCCATCCAATTTAGTCCACAGCTAAGACCAGTAATATATTCATTCAATTTTGGCCTCATCCACTTCTCCACATTCGTTTCTGCTAAATCAGCTAATGGTTATCAGAAGAAAATGATGAACAAGTTTTACCTGTGTGCGTCCTCTGATGAGCCTTAAGGTGAGAGGATTTCGTGTAGACTTTCTTGCACCCACTGAATTGGCACTTGTGGATCCTCCGCTTACTTCCATCCAGGACATCATAGCGGGGCCGAGCATCCTTCACAGCGGCCATACGCCGGCTCTTCTCGAGGGGTTCTGCATCTAAATCTGATACAGACAGTCGGTCCTCACCACCACTGCTGTTACCACCGTCCGTCAGACTGCTAGCACTGCTTTCTAGGTCCTCGACAAACTTCGTCCCTTTCAGCGAGAAACGATCCCACGGGCTTGCATCTAGGCATTTGAAGGACTTTGGTTCTTCCTTCAAGTACCGTTCCATTTCCATAATCGTCTGGTAGGAATAAAAATTTGCATTTTAGTAACATTCAGATACAGCATATCAATTATATACACATATGTATGTGATATAAACTTAAAGAGACTGCTGCATGATTAGAAGGATGACACCCTTGCAACTTTCTTTTACCAAGACGCCTTATTATATGTATATACCGTATAAGCCATTATAACCAATATTGCTTATGCTCACATTATTTTGATTTCTATTTGTGCACTGCTCTCAGCAAGGGCAGAGGGATTAGCAAACTTCGAATTATATGTGTTATATAGAGAAGTAATAACGTTTACAGCATTTTTCCGTTTATAACAAAAATTTAGCCCTATGAATTTTTATATCTCTTTCAAATGGCGGGTTAGTAATATCAATCCAACATGCAAAGCATCGTTTAAAAAAAACTGCATTTGAATAAAAGATATTCTTTCACTAATTAACACACTTTTACTAGCTCACAAGAACACATATCTGATATTCAGTACATACTAATGAACTGAAAAAACAGGAACTTTATCGATCAAACTTAGTTAGTTAAATCAAATGAAAATATCCATCATTTGATTTAACTTTCTTGTGTTTACATCGATACTGGTTTTCTTGTTCATTAGCTCGATGCTACTTAATTTATTACTCTACTATTTCGATTTAATGAAGTTCCATTACCAGGGGTTTATTGTAATTCAAATTTTCATGTTTATTATATATAAAATAAGTCTATGTGAAAAATCTAACGTTAATTTATCTTTATTTTATTTTTATTTTACAACTTATTTAAAACTAATTAAACCATGATAAAGTGACACAAGACATCGGATATAACAAATTATTATTAGTGCCTGATATTTAAGGACATAACCACATTAACAGCGAAAAGGAACACGTAAAATCAACCATTTTCGTAACGTAATCGATATAGCACCCTCGAAGCTACTGATGCTTTAATACAACGCCCGAAATCCTCCCCAAAATGATCGGATTGGATCTGTCTGGTGTCTTAGTCTGATTATTATACGAGGGCTATCCAGAAAGTAGATTACGTTTTGGAATAAAAAAATAAACAAAGTATAGGAAACAAATTTTATTATATACAGATGAAAGCCACACTCAAATACTACTTTTCTACATAGTCACCATACAAATTAAGGCATTTATCGTAGCGATGTACGAGCTTGGAAATTCCTTCGTCGAAAAATTCGGCCGCCTGCGCCTTCAACCACTTCGTTACCTCTTCTTGCAGCTGTGCGTCGTCATCAAAACGCCTGCATAGCCAGCCACTTCTTCATTGCTGGGAATAGGTGGAAGTCGCTCGGTGCCAGGTCGGGACTGTACGGCGGATGAGGAAACAACTCCCACTTAAAAGATTCAAGAACTTTACGAGTGACATTGCCGTGTGGGGCCGGGCGTTGTCGTGAATCAACAAGATCTTAGAGCTCAACATTCCTCTGCGCTTGTTTTGAATTGCTCTTCTGAGTTTTTGGAGAGTTTGGCAATACCTTTGAGAGTTTATTGTAGTGCCTCTTTCCAGGAAGTCCACCAAAATTACACCTTTTCTGTCCCAAAAAACAGTCGCCATTATCTTCCTTGCCGACATTGTTTGCATGCATTTCTTGGGTTTTTGGGGAGAACTTGTGTGCCCCCACTGCATTGATTGCAATTTCGTTTCACAGTTCACATGTTTCAACATTTTCACCCATGTTTCGTCACCAGTAACGATGCGATCGAGTAAAGAGTCACCATCCTTATGGTAAGCGTCCAAAAAGTTCAACGCGCTGCAGCCATTCGCTGATTTTTGTGGTCCTCTGTCAAGATTTTTGGAATCCATCTTGCACAAAACTTGTGGTAACCAAGCTTTTCGCTGATGATTTCGTGCAACAAACTTCGCGAAATTTGTGGAAAAACTCAAAGAAAGTTCCGTTATTGTGAAATTTCGATTTTCACGGACTTTAGCATCGACTTTTTTCGAGAAGTTCGGCGGTCACTATGCTGGGTCTCCCACTTCGATCTTCGTCGTGAACATTGGTTCGGCCATTTTGAAATCTTATGACCCACTGACGCACTCCACCTTCAGTGATAATGTTTGTCCCCATACACTTCACGAAGCTGCCGATAGATTTCTATCGGTTTACAGTTTTTTGCAGTCAGAAACCTTATTACTGAGCGCACCTCGCAGCTCGCGGGATTTTCAATTAACGCAGACATTTCAAACCGTCACAGTATCTGAACGGAGCACAGCACGAACCTCTCACTAGCACGGCTAGATGTAGACTGAGCTGCGCAACGCTCTGACCCCAAGATGGCCGCGCTAGCCCCGCCCCTAGCGGACACAGACGGAAACGTAATCTACTTCCTGGATGGCCCTCATATAAGCTGGGCTGTATAGTCAGGAATTAAAAATATCTGTTTCTCTCGTTCACATTGAAAACATACATGAAAAAAATTGCTGTATACTGAAGTAGATACTGTTAACAATCGCTTATAACTGAAAAGCATTAATAATTCATTAGTAAGTTTAAGTAAGTTTCTGTTAGGGTATTAATGCACACAAATGAAAAATAAAGCACTTCCTCTCAACTTCTCTTAACCATCTAACGAGATATGTGTAAGGAAATAAGCGCAAAAGGGCAGTGGCCCGGATGCTGAGCCGTTTCAAGTATCATTCTCAGGGTTCCCTATTATCCCTTCTATGTCGTATATTCATTAAAAAACAATAGGATCAGAAGACTCACCGATCCTTCCGGAAGTTTCGACTTTCAAAAAGTAGAATATAACTCTCATTAGCGCAGCTTTAAAACCATGTATACCGGTAAGAAGGGGGGGGAAAAAATCTGAAAGCTTTCAGATTTTATATTACGCCCAAAATAATGTTTTTTTTTTTTTTTTTTTTTTTTTTTTTTTTTTTTTTTTTTTTAACGTTTTGTGCGTTACCTTTATTTATTAAATATCATGTTTTTCACACGTAAATCGTAAACTTCAACAGCAATATCATAAAATATTTAAAAGAGCATATCTTTAGAATTTCCGATACACAGTCTCGCGTGCTGGAGATAAAAATGTTCCCCTCCCCCTTCTCCTCAGTACAGTGTCGCCATTGCTCGCTTGGAAATCGTCGAGTTTCTTAATCAAAAACTCATAAATGCTTTACAAAATATAAAATAGATAATAAAACAAATTCCAAATTTGGGCTTCCAGATGCCCATATTCAAGTGGACGTACGTCATTCAAAATTTGATGGCACTAGGTACTGTTGTTTTATCACAATGCGAAAAACATACATAAATTTATGCAGATTATTCATTATTTAATTTCTTTAAATATAATACTGGGCCCTTATATTTGGGGAAACAATTTAAAAAGTGATTCGCCGTTTATAGTGAATCAACGCAAAATGCCAAAACGAAATTAATGGCCCTTCTGGGCTAATTCCCTCTTTGGGCTAAAAAAGGGAAATTCTTTTTGGAAAAGTGCATGATAACTCTCTATTTAATTATGCGTATGTTTACCATATTGTTTATGTGTAGCAGTCTTTACATTTATCATATTGTGTTATGTCCCAAAGTGAAGGTGCCAGAAAGTATTTTCGGCCCACCAGCCGCCGAGTAGTAAAGTTGCCGAACACTGGTAGTTCGGTCCGAGGTTCAAAATCATGCGAACAAGTTGGCTGCCTGGGCGTTTTCGTAAAACGTATAAAATGTGTAAAATGTATACGAGCTAGTTTACCTTAGAAAGTCCTCCATGAAGGCATCGCCTCTTTTAGGCAGATAGCCTTCGGGGCTTTGCCATAATCACATAACCCAAAAATTATTGGAGTTTTATTTGTTTTATCATATTATATTTATAATTATTAATATATTCATAAGCTTGTAAATAATAACATAAATTTATTTATTGTTATTTTAGTGTTACACTGTTTTTTCCAGAACCCTTTTTTGGGGGTGTGGAAGAAATATGATATATACATGGGAAATAAGGAAAGAAAAAATTACATTATTCTCTTGGGTTTCTAGCAAAGAATTAAAAATCTTCAGTTTACAAATTCTGGCATGAAAAATGAGTCGGGGAACTTCAAAAAATAATTACACTCACAAACAGACAGAAAATGCCTTGTTTTCATTTAACGTTTCTCTCTTATCGATCCACTAAGATAAAATTAATTTCATCTACTTATTTTTTTCTTTCATTTTCACTCATCAACCATTTCTAGCGAAACACGACAGACTCTTTTCTCACACATGTACACTCTCCTGAAATCCTCCCAAGATAAAACAACTCTCTTTCTTTCATCATTCAATGAACGGAAAAATAAACATTTCTCTTACTAAATATATATCAGAAGATATCTTATCCAGAGGTCAAATCTGATAAAGTTACAGGTCAGGAAATACTGTTAAGTTAGAATGAATTAAAGTGACCAAACCTTTTCGAAAGTAAAACGACGCAACACTATTTCGGAGGGTGAAAAAGCGAAAAAACACCACTTTGTTTGAAGCTTGTTATTTTAAACAATTAATATGCTTGAGAAGCATTTGTTAAATTGCTCACGTCTTTACACTAAAGCCACTCAAATAGATCTTATGCTTACTAATAATTTCGGTGCTCAGTGAAAGTGGTGGCCCTGGAGAACGCGACAATCAGTGATATTACAGACCAATACTTATTTATTTATATTCTCAAAAATACACAGAAAAATACATTTTCAGATGTATTTGCAATAAGAATTTTCATAGTGTTTATTATAAATATATACGCTGCATTTATGAGATTGTTTCCATTAAAAGGAGTAAGTTCTTAAAAGCAGGTTTAAAAGAAACATGATTGGTCTAATTACCAGAAAAGTCTCTTTCCATTTTAGTTTTAACTCATCTTATCTCTTCACTTCAGTTTCCATAACCGCTTTTATTTTTTCAGGTACTTCATAAAATAAGTAAAAAATACGAAGACGGTTAATTCATCGAAATAAATATATTTCACTGCATAATATATCATATAATTATTTATCG